AAATAAAAAAACTGAGATGAAATGAAGTATTATATGATTAGAGCAAATGACATATTTCAATGTCTCCATGAATATCATAACCTCCAACCAGATTCATACTACGTTTTGTAAAACAAAAACCATATGTGGTTGACTCGTTTATATCACACTTAAAATGTACGTATCAAAGATAAAAGGCATAAGCTTAAATATTTTCTTATATATTTCCATGTCCCCATGTATACTTTAACCTCCCATCTGATGGGCTACCTTTTGAAAAATAAAAACCATCATACTTTACTAACCAAAAACACTTATTCGTCGTCACTAATTTGTTTCCACATTCTTCTGCAATTTGATTATTGAAAACTGGAAACTCAACCTCTCTATACACTTGATTGTCACTCATCATCCAGTAAAAGTTCCCGCTAAATTCAGTTGTTTCGCCAAAATTCCTACGAAAGTCCCAATGGAACGTGTCGCGTATAGTCATCGTATGGTTCCCAAGATCATTATCTTTCGAGTGAATATGAACAATTAGATTTTGAATTCCTGAATCGATGATATACATTGTATATGGCTCCAATGAGTTGACTACACCCGAAGTTGAAGAACTTACAGAGTAAATAACACATAACATCAAAACAACAAAGAAGAAGAATCTCATGGTGACAAGATTTAACGTATTTCGATTATTAGCCTAAGAGTGTCTTTCCTTAATATAGACATTCTCGAACTCAATGTATCATGTGCAATAAACATACATTAAATTACATTATTATACCTTCAATATTTACATCTCGAAAAATTATTAGCATAATTATTAGGTTTTAGTATCGACATATGCTTGTATTGGAAATATATCCCTTAATTAAATGGTTGAGGTTCATTTAACTTTTAATGTATAACCTTTCTTTAAAAGTACAATAATATAAATGTATATTTGGTTTCATTTGTTCGATTTATAACAAGAAATAATGAGTTTTAAGTTGAGTATTACCAAAATACCCCTAGTTAATTAATATTTTGAAATTAAACTCTCTTAATATTAATTTTTACTTTTCTAGATATTCAATTGATTTGTTCCCAAAATATCCCTTTGTTGGGCAAAATTTTTTAAGTAATATCCCATTTAAAAGTATAATGCTATAATTCTACGTGTGTTTTCATTTGCTCGGTTAATACCATTAAATAGTGATATCTTTGTTGAATTCCAAAAATACACATGCTTCAATTTTGATTTTCTAGTTCTTTTTGGATATAAATTTCAAAGTGAGATGATTTTATAAGAAAAATAAATAAACTAATTTATAAAAAAAGAAATGAATGTAAAAGGTCATATTGGGCATACAAATGAAAGTGAATTGCCATTTGTTGCATTCAGCCGAATCACAATAGCACATACATAGACACACACTCATAAAATAGAAACATACATAGAACACACTCAAACACATGAAAATCATGTTACTCATCAGATACTGATACCAAAATTTAACTAAGTAAAAAAGAAAGAAAATGTAACATGAAACTTGATAAAAACTGTACTGCAAAAAACATACAAAGGAACATGGTTTCTTCATAACCGTTATAGAAGCAAATGCTATCCATAATGGAGGTTCAAAACAGAAATTAACAAATAAACTTGTGAATTTCTTATATCATAATTTTTTTCTCAAATACAAGAAACATTGACATATATGATAGAAAAGTATGATATCTAAACCTTCTATCACAGGAAATATCTAATGTTCTATACTCTCAGGGTTTGTAATAAGATACACACGGATCGGTAAAATGTTGCCTCATCTTTGAGTAATAATTAAGACCATCTTTTCTACTGGAGAAGCCATCAATTGGTCTCAATCCATTCGATAATCTCTAATTTCATGAGTAATTCAACCTGCCTTCCTTCCCTTGAAGTCCGAAACAAAATTATTGATTGATCTCATTCCTTCGAAAGAATAAGAAACAGTAAGATTAGGTCATTCAGTAATTTAACCATTCAAGATTACAAAATAAAAAATAAAAGATATCAGTTTTACACTGTTAAAGCTTCCAAATTCCAAGGTGCAAAATGAGCGAAACATATACCAAACTGTAAGAAAGGAATATCTTCATCAGGGGTAAATTGGGCAAAACGAAGTCCAAAATTTTATATCTTGAGATCTTGATCATGAAAACAGATACAAAAAATGGAGAATACAAGGGCAATATGGTTATTTAGTATGGTGCCACATGTAGATCTTAAGTAATGTCACAAACTATTATTTTTATAGGTGTATCTATGGCTTAAGAGGAAACAAAAGATATTGGCTCCTAAATCTTTTTCCAAAAATCAGTCAGATGCTACGAATTCTCTTGAAAGGCTTAAAATCTTTCAATACCAACAAAAGTAAAAATAAATCCAAAGTACCCAACAACATTTTGAATAATAACTAAAAACTTACGTATATCTTTAGAAAACCGATTAATAACAACAATAAACGATTAATATGAAGTGAATTATCTTAATTCATTAAAAACCTCATAAAAATCAAAAGGAAAAAATGCAATAACACTCTAAGGCATAGAAAACCATCCCAATATATTTAATAGTATCATTTTCGACTCCTATTGAATGTGTAGGATTGTGAAGCTTGATTAACGCTTACTTACAACCTAAAATTCAAGAAGTAACTTGTAAAATTAAATATATAAAAAAAAGATTAAGGCCAGGACTCCTTATAGAGGCGGGTAGGAAATAGATTCATAAATAGATTCAATGAGTATCCATGAAATATAGTAGATTTCAGTAGTCATGGAATTAGGTCGCCCTGTAGTGAATATTCAATAGAATACATAAGTAATTCGATACTGCAACATAAACGTAGATAAAGGGTAGGAGAAAGTTGGTAATAGAATTGGTCGTACGACTTGGTGGTTTTAAGGCTTACTTCAAGAAACGGAGGGGCTGACTGTGTGATGGGTGGTTGTTCACTATGGTAAACGACATAAGGAGAAGAAATAAAGAGATTTTGTGAGTAGTAGATGGGGGTTCGAATTAAGGTGGTGGTTTTTGGGTGATATAGGCAGCGACGGGGGTGAGGAAGGTGCTAGTGTTAAGGGTGGGGATAGAGGCAAAAGACCAAAGTGTTTGGCAGTACATGTGGTAATGGGTTGGTGGCGGCTCTCATTTAGAAGAAGAGAAATCAAATATTCTCTTACTTATTTTCCTACCAATTTGAAATCATGACAAGTGTCTTAAAATGATATTAATTTTATCAAAATATGACATTTGTCACCATTTTACGTGGATAGGAAGACAAGTAGGAATAAAAACAGGAGGATATTTAATTTCTCTTATAAGAAACCAAGAGAAAAGAGTTTGTATTGAATAGATATATCGATGGGGAGAGTGAAACGGTGAGCACCTTTATAGGAGTTGGAAAAACGAAGGGTCACAAGTGAAAATCAAAACTCCGTGTTTTTTATTATGCAGTAAGAGTTGTATATTTCTTAAAATTAAGACTTTTGTGCAGTTAAGTATGTATACATAATCACATTTTAAGTAGGTATATATAACACCATAAACTTTATTTTTATTAAAATTTTAATTTTTTTCTTTGTATGTATGTATAATATATCTACGCATTTATTATCCTTTGACTTTTTTCCTAGTATCCACTAGTAAATATTGAATTATTAGTCAATATGTTATTTTCATAAAAATTATATGATAAAGTTTCATAAGAATGTGTACCAATCTAATTACTATAAATCATTTTTTTTAACATATGAAGTTTTTGATTTCTTGCATAGTTTTTTTTGTTTTGTCATATTAGTTTTCATTAACTTTATCAACCAAAAACCAATTAACTTAAACAATTTTTTTATCATTAACAATTTTAAAAATCAATTTTCTATAATTAACTAATTAACTTACACCATCTTCAATCACTCATCATTACTTTCGTTAATCAAATCTCTCATACAATTACTTGGCTATTCGAGGTAGTTGATTCTTCATTTGGTTTTCTTGTTACTTTCTTGTTTCCTATAGGATAAACTTAACTTTCTTCATCTTCGATATTTGTTTATGTATCAAATAATGTTGTCTAACTAAACAAAATAATATCTCCAACATAGTTGAAAGCGAAAATACGATATAGTATGTTATTTTGTCAAGATATTTATGAAAGAATGAGTGCTTTGCCGATATATAATAATCTATAATATTTATATAATGATAAGTATTTATTGAAACATGGTCACAAAAACCAAAACTTCAAATGTAACCAGTACGGTTTTTTATCCAAATGTAAAGATGATAATTATTTTACATATATAATTATACAAAACTCCAAAAATATAATTTTATAAGTAAAAAATAAAATTTAATATTAAACATTTAAACAAAATATTATTTAATGTTTATTAATACAAATTAATTAGTTATTAAATAACAAAATTTTAATGTTTAACTATAATTAAGGAATAAAATTAAAATAATTGATTAAAAAAGATTTAGTTGATTTAATGAAAAATTAAAAACAATTAGTTCATGTCAAGTGGTTTCATAAAAATTTAAAATCCCCAATGGTAAAAACTAGATTTTAAGTTGATTCTAATATTTGACCTTATAATCTACCTTTTATTAGAGTCTTGAGATGCTCTTATTTCAAATAAATTGTTTATTATTTGGTTAAAAACCTAGGTTATATATATATATATATATATATATATATATATATATAGAATATATATATCTATATATATCTATATATTATAATACATGACCAAATCATTATATAAAAAACATATTTTATAAATTCAAAAAATAAAAAACTAAGATGAAATGAAGTACTATATAATTAGAGCAAATGATATATTTCAATGTCCCCATGAATAATCTAACATCCAACCAAATTCAGACTACATTTTGCAAAATAAATACAATATGTGGTTGATTTGTTTATATCAGACTACAAATGTATGTATTAAAGATAAAAGACATAATTTGAAATATTTTCTTATATATTTCAATGTGGCCATGTATACTTAAACATCAAATCTGATGGACTACCTTTTGCAAAATAAAAACCATCACTCTTTACTAACCAAAAACATTTGTTCGTCTTCAATAATTTGTTGCCACATTCATCGGCAATATGATTATTGAAAACAGAAAACTCGACCTCTTGATAAATTTGATTGTCAGACGTCATCCAGTAGAAGTGTCCGCTAAATTCAGTTGTTTCGCCGAAATTCCTACGAAAGTCCCAATGGAACTCATCGTTTATAGTCATTGTATAGTTCCCAAGATCATTATCTTTTGAAAGAACATGAACAATTAGATTCTGAATTTCTGAATCGATGATATGCATTGTATATGGCTCCCACAAGTTGATTACACCCGAAGTTGAAGAACTTACGGAGTAAATAACACATAACATTAGAACAAAAAAGAACAAGAATCTCATGGTGACAAGATTTAACGTTTTTCGATTGCTATCCTAAGATTGTCTTTCCTTAATATAGATGATCTCGAACTCAGTGCATCTTAAGCAACAAATACACATTAAATTACAATATTATCCGGTCAATATTTACATCCTGAAAAATTAATAGCATTAATTATTACAATTTGGTAACGACATATGATTGTATTAGATATGTATTTCTTAATTAAATGGTTGAGCTTCAACTCATGGACATATGTTCGACATATGTGTAGATTTAGAAGGTGCATGTTGGTTCTTAAAAATATATTTTTAAAAATTGTTTTACATATACCGAATGTTTTATAAATTAACTGAAAAATTAACAGTTAACTGTGAGTTGAAAAGCTATTTGTTAACTAACAAATAAAAGATATATTGTTTGACATAAAAACATGTAAGAATTTGAGTGGATCTGCAATTTAAAAAATATACTAATTAACTTCCTAAAGTATATTAATTACTAGTTATGATTATTTATATAAATATTTTTTAATTATTATTACTAAGTAAGTTTACACTAATAAATTCCACATACTAATAAATGTAATAATTGCAATAAATATAATAATAAATGAATATCAATTTCATTAATAGACTTACCTAATTTTAAAGTTTCTAAACTAAAGCCCTATTAATTTTTTTTGTTTATTTATCTAAATTATTTTTTAAGTTTAAAAAAGAATAAAACACTTTAATTTTAATAATTTAATATTTTTCTCATTTTAGTTGTAAACTTAAAATAATTAAATATTTAGACATTAACATTTAACTTTTTTTTAAATAAACTCATTTAATACAAGGCTCTCACAAGTAGTAACGAATAATCATAAGACATACTTTCAATAAGCAAACACAGTAGTATTTATATTCAAAATGCATGTAAACATCTCAATTAAAATAGTGATTGATTTTAGTTTATTGTTAAAAAAATAAAGTATGTTAGAAAATTATGAATTTGCGTGTTGATTAATCTACCATAATAAATAAAGATTTTTATGCAACATGTCATACCCTCATTTATTTTGCTACATGTCATTTTGTGCTTATTTTAAATAATTTTTTTTCTGCGTGTCATTTTATGTTTTTTTTTTCAATTTATTAAATTTCACATACTAATAAATGTAATAATTGCAATAAATATAATATTAAATGAGTATCAATTTTATTAATAAACTTATCATATAATTTGAAAATTTCTAAATTAAAGCCACATTAACTTTCTTTATTTATTTGTCTAAATTATTTGTTTAAATTCAAAAAAGAATAAAACTTTTTATTTTTAATAGTTCAATATTTTTTCTCATTTTTCTTATAAATTTAAAATTCTTAATTATTTAGGCCTTTATATTTAATTTTTTTTAATTAAACATATCTAATACACGAGTCTTACAACTAGTAACTAATATTCAAAAGACATATTTTCAATAAGCAAGAACAGTAGTATTTATATATTCAAAATACACGCAAACATCTCAATTAAAAATGTAATCATTAAAAAATTGATAATTTAATTTTGCAGATTCTATATAGCGAAATATTTAGTTATTTAGTGGATTTCTATCAAATTATGATCAATTGTTAATACAATATTTTCTCATTTGATCATTATTATATATATATATTAAAATTGTGGAAGAAAGGAATAGTAAACTTGATATAAATTTTGTCTCTTTTGGTCCCTTAAGTTACATTCCAGGTCCCTGAACTTTTTATGTTTGTGAATTTTATCACTTTTAATCATTTTGCTCATTATTCTTTACCCATTTTGACACTTTTGGTCTTTGCAATCAATATTTTTACACTTTTTTGGAACCGTTTAATATTTAAAGTTTGGCCACAAAACTTTAACGGTTTGACAACTTTGATCCCTTTTCTAAAAAGTTGCTAATTCCTACCCCTTTAATTCTTTAGCCATTTTCACACTTCTGGTCCTTGCAGTCAAAACTTTTATATTTTTTGTCCCGAGCAAAGCCCGGACTTTTCATCATTGCACTTTCTATGTCTGTCATATTTATCAATTCGGAAACAACATTGAAAGCTTCTGGCCCCGCGTAGCGGGGGTAACCTTTGTAGTTGGAATAATAATTGTACTTTTTACTTTCAAACTAAGGGACGAAAAAGACAAACAATATGTATTGATTTATCTTTCTTATTTTTATAAAGCAATGACTTAATTTCCTTCTTTTACCCATAAGTTACAATAAACTTATTTTTAATAATTAAATGGATCCAAATTTGACAAATTTATGGATCTAAATATCGTTAATGTGTAAAGTTTGTTTTTTATTGTAAAGATTTAAAGTATTATTATCCTCAAAATATCCATCGTTGCATTTTATGTAATCTAATTTAAAATAAAAGCAAAATTGAGTTGATAAACAAATAATGTTTATTCAATTGCAAATTATAGGGTGAGGTTCAATAGAGAACCATAATTAACCAACGAACCAAGGAACCAATCTTTTTTTCAACTTTTTCAACTTATTTTTAATAAAAAAAAAACTAAAAATACAGAAATTCATAACTTTTTATCATTTTTCCAATGATATCAAATTCGAATTTTTTTTTATTTTTTTATTTTTACGTCAAATTCACAATATGAATCTTTGAAAATTCACAACGTGAATCCGAAAAATATTTTTCACATTCACAATGTTAATATATGAATTTAGATATTTTTAGATTTTTTTTTCGATAAAGAATAAGCTCTAGAAATTGAAAAAAAGATTTGATTCCTTGAAGAACCAATAATTATGGTGCTCTATTGAAGTTTTCCCTATATATATATATATATATATATATATATATATATATATATATATATATATATATATATATATAATCCAACGTTAGGAATAGTGAATTTGATGCTTTTTTGGCAGAAATGGTCCTTCAATTATAGATGTCTTGGCAATTCCATCTAACTTGTTATTGATTTTTGTAGGGATTAGTTTATGCCATTTTGAACTTTCTTTGTTTACACGTGTTATTCTGAATTTGGTTCACCGTTTTTACACCGCCTTTGCCTCCAATGAGATGCTTACACGACTGCTTCCCACCGCCTCACTCCTTAGATAGCTTTTCTACTACTGTGTCTTCCTTCGGTTTCCTAACCATTCTTATGTTAATTCTTCATTCATCACAATCCTCATCTCCACCGCCACAACCATTTGCTCTGGCGTCTTCTTTTACGCCCTCGATTCAAGCTGATTCGCTTCCCACTGTGTTGCCCTAAGTTTCCGGGATCAGGGGTTTTTAGGGAACTTTAGCTCCGCCTGTGTACCTTTCGATTGGAAAAAAACCCATGGTGACTTGGGTCTGGATTTCGAAATCGAAGCAATCCGAGGGGGTATGACAGACGCAGAAAAGGGAAACAATGCGAGGGGGTATGACAGACGACCACCTTCGTGTATACATATTGGGCTTAGAGAAGGAATTGGTGTCTCCATCTTTCGTTGTGGTTCTACAACCCATTTTGCCTTAATCTTCATAAATCGAACGGCACCACCACCACCATGTCACTTCGATTGGCTTTTATCTGTCCACGAAGGTTTATTTTCGGATGCTTTATTCCACAAATCCTCCTCTTTATGAAAATTAGGGCTTTCATCAAGAAAGTCGACGACTCAAATTTTTAAGGGTCCTAATTAGGTATTTTTGTTTTCCCAAAATTATCTCCTTTCTTGCAATCGTTTCACCCTGCCTAAATCCAAACCAGGTTTGCAAGTGCAGATGTAATCAAATTTGTGTCGGCATATCTTCATCCTGATGCCAGCTTCTTCGTAACTTCTAAGTTCTATCTGACATTTGCAGGTTTTCCATGTGTATTCTGGAAAATCGACACTTTCAGGAAGGTTGCTTCCGTTTTTTCTCAATCCTCTCGATCAGGGCTTCGGAGCCCCCGTTAATCAGAATCGAAATCATCATTGTTGTCCATTCAAACTTCCAATATATATGTTGTCCACATCATTTTTCAAACCTGGATTTGGCATGGATTTTGCTAGGTAACCACTACCATGACGCTGTTGCTCTTGCGAGACCTGGCTGTGACAACAACTTTGTTTTGGTAATAATTCAGTTGTTATTATTATTGTTTTTTGCTCTTGAGCTTTCTATATGTGCAGATTTGTTCATTCGTCACGCAATGTACAGTGATTTAGAAAAGGCTTGGGATCTTTGATGATAGTCAGGTAATTTAGAAAATGCTTAATTATTTTTGAACTACGGCCTGGACCCTAAAATTTGTTTAATATTCAGGACTACTTTTTTAGGGTACATTGTTTTAATATTAATTTTTTAGTATACATACACAACATCATATACACAGCTAACTTAGATTAATACTAACTAAAGCTATAGATATGCTGGTGCTCAAGAAACATGTTGTGTCTCAATGCTATCAAGGTTCTGTATTCATGTTGGGTAATAAAAGCAGATCTTAGTGTTCACTAAATTCAGATCCAATATCAATTTTCTTACCTTTTACATTGCGTTTGTCTACTATTTATATTTATCTCATAGATTAAATATCTATTTTCAGGTGTTATGGAGCCAGAAGAAAGAGTGAAAGACATCTCCATAGTAGAGGCTCGGTGTGTCATCTTTAAAAGTACTTATAACTTATTGTTCATCTATATGATAACCAGTGTCTTTTCTGTTATGCCACTTCCTATCCACCACCTTTAATCAAATTCCAATTGTTAATTCTTTAGACGAAGAATTCTTTTAAATTTAAATGTAAATCTAATTGTTTCCATGAAAAATGTGTCTCGCACTGTGGTTAGGTTATATGATTTTGTCAGTATAAAGATGCATTTTAGTTTTCTGAAACTCTGGTTTAGAAGAGTATAATAATGTTTTCCTTTTGTTGCAGTTGGAGATGA